CCACGAGCGTTCAAATATTCCCGCCAGTGGCTCTGCAATGATGTCAGCCAGTGCCTTCAGGACCCTTGGATGGCGCTCATCCGGGCCTGCCGACTTAAAGGCATCCAGTTCCTCCAAGTGACTCTGCACCATCTCAGGGTCTACGCATGGTAGTCTGGTGCCCTGCTGCTGCCCCTCTACAACCCCAGTGAGAGACTTGTCCTGCCCCTCACTTAGGAACACTGAGGCAAAGAACTCGTTGAGGAGTTCAGCCTTGTCCCCCCTGTCCATCACCAATTGCTTCTGCCCATTTAGTAGGGGTCCTATTCCTCCCTGGGCCTTCCTTTTACTCCCTATATAGCTGAAAAACAATTTCTTGTTATCCCTTACTTGGGATGCCATCCTCAGCTCCATGGTAGCTTTGGCCCGTCTAACTGCCTCCCTACAAGCACGAGCAGAGGAGGTATACTCCTCTTTGGTGATCTCTCCCTGTTTCCACTTTTTATGTGCTCCCCTTTTGGCCCCATACAAGTCAGTTCCCCATACAAGCTATAGCAGCCTTCCACCCAGTTTCCTGTGGCTCTAGAGGCACCCTGGCTATCCCTCCTTTTTCTGATCATGTCTCAACCTGGGCTGATAGCTGTGAAGAGGACTGAAACAGAGTTGCTATATCTGCTTGGCACAAGGTAGGGATTCACTATGCCAGGGGAATCTCTAGGAAGCAGTGGTGGAGGTTTGGCAGTGCTGGAAGGGGACAAAGCATTTGTAGCAGTCCTGACACATGTCACATGTAAGACACAGGCAGCACACATAGGTTTTATCCATCCCCCAGCAGGGGAATCCCAGAGTGTTCTAGGAAACTACAACTACATGTGTGCCCAGCTGGGGCAGCACGTGGAGTTTTTAACCTAACTTCTGTACATAAGAATCCCAAGACTAGGCTGTCATAGCCTGATCCCAGGGTTCCTGTGCACCGCGACTTGTAAAAACCCCATGTGCTACCCAGCTTGGGCCAGGGACTAGACTAGGATCAGTTCCAGATTTGGGTTCAGTCCCATGCCCTGACAATCAGCTGATTGTGGACACCCTGGTTTCAACTTGTTGGTATAGGGGGAGTCCGGGATCATGATCCCAGGTGCCCCTTGCATTGGCAAGTAAGGAATGATTTGGGATCTAATCCCCAGTAACAAAATCATGTGTCCTGTCATGCACATGGGGTGGATCCCATCACACCTTAAAATGAACTTCTGTCAGGGGCTGGACTTCTAGGAAGTCTCAAGTTAGATGAACTAATCTTGGCCCTGCACAGATCCATGACACCATCTGAGACCTCTTAGAATGAAGTAGTGTTCTGGCATGTCCTCTGCCTCTGGCCATGTCCATGTTATGGCCACCCAGGAGATGGGGTGGAATCCTCTATGTCCCAGTTTATGGCCCTATTTCTCATCTAAAAGGGTTGCTGCATGGGATACCATTAGAAGTGATACTTTTCATGCAGGAGAGGTGAGCTGAGTGTTAATCAAAGCTAGCATCTTAGTTCCTAAGAAACAGGAATAATAAAAGCGCATCTTAACCTTATAGAATTATTACCTCTTTTAAACCACGGCAAAATCTCTCAAACACCCTTTTCATATTACCACCCTTTTCCATGGAGATCACCCGGGTGTGGTCCTCTTCATTAATCCAGATAAGAAATGTCTTGTCATGGTTATGCCTGGGTAAGAGAGAAAAATGGTGTCTTTAAGAGTGGAATAAAGCTTCAAAATTAATTCTCAGCATTCTCCATTTTATACCAACCCCTTCCTTTACTGCCTCCTAATCTTTCATGATTGTCCATAGGGATAAGTACTTCAAAATAACATTACTAGGTGGGATTAAGAATGAAAGCTACTGAGGCCTTTCATATTTTATTCTCCTATCCAGAAGGACTACCATCCTTCAAGTTCCTTAGTTCACAGTGACAAGAGCACTCTGCTGTGATCACATTGGTAGTGTACTGATGCTGCATGAGAAAGTACATTTTGTCTTCTAGCAAGAACACATCACGAGGCACATGCTGCTAAGGAAACAAGGAAAGGGAGAAGCTGAGTGCTGGTGCTTTAGTCAGCAAGGAAGGTATTCACTGAACTTCGAGCATTCTGAGGTTAGAAAAATCTGTTTGCACACTGTTGGAGCCTGGCAACCTGACCATATTTAATTGTATCCTCTTCTAAATCAAATGACAGTGCCCTTTATGTCACTTGGTAGCACAGGATTGGTGCATAAATCAATTTATAAAATTGGGAGAAGGCAGCTAAGTGTTGCTCCAAGACAGTACATTAATAGCAGATGTTATCTTGTCAATCAAGATAAATGTGGCCAGAGACAAGACATTTACTGCAAATTGATCAGTAATGAGCAGGCTTTCAAAGTGTCAGGTAGGCACTGCAGGTTTTTTGCATTGGCTTTTTTCTGCTTTCTTGGCCTTTGTATTGTAGTTTTCTTGAATAAGATAAAAGGTGACCAGGAAGGTAAGACTTGTTCATACAGCTGAGCAGTCATACCAAGGTGGCAGCATAGTGGGTCTTCTCTAGGAATTAAAATTCATAGAGGGCCTCACTTTCAGCCTCACTTTCACCACAATTCCCTTTTGGCACTTGAATGTTGTAATTGAAAATGCATATGAAAATATGATCTAGCAGGTCTTTGGGGTATAATTAGAAACACCTAGATGTTGAATTAACTGATTTGCAGTCACTACCATTTAAAGTGAGATTTTCAAAGGTGATCATGTTACCTTTGCTCTTGTTGAATTACATAGGAGTTTTACCATTTACTTGAATGAGGTTATATTGAGTACTATTGAAAAGTGCACCCTTAGGATGAAATCCTTGCCCTTTTGAAATCAATGAGAGCTTTGCTGTTTACTTCGATGATGCCTAAGTTTCACACTTAGACTTCTGAATTACTTAAATTGTACTGACATATAATTTTACCCTCAACTATTTGCCTCTACAAATCAGGATACAATAAGGAAAATCAAGGATTTAGACATTGGCATTGTACCAGTGTAAAAAGGTATCAGACAAATGGAATAAACCCTTAAACCATGGTAACTTCCCACAGTATTCATGAAACAATTGGGAGTAAACCTCTCCTGGTCTAATTTACACCAGTTTAGGTTCATCTATCTGCATCCATCTCACGGTGGGCATCTACCTGCTCCCCCACTGCTGAGGGGAAAACCCAACTAACTCATAGCCACCTACTGTGCAATCTGTCTCAGGATAGCTCTCCATCTCTCCATTCCCAATCCTAGTGTAATTTACATCAGTATGTCCAAATGATGTAGATCACACTTGGGAGGTGTTTTTCTGTCCAGGGTCCAAGTTTTAATATCTGGCTCTTAGTGTCACTTTCCAGAAGGTGATTTTTTAATATAAATGATATTTCATGTGTAAAACATGCAAAACCAGATCTGGTTTGTCAGGTGATCCCCTGGTGATACATAAGCCCTATGCTAACTTCTGGGCAGTTCATAAAATCTAAGTATCCAGTTCCTTATCTACAATGTTTCCAGAAGTAACTCTGGAATGGATTTTATTGGGCACTACAAATCTAGTCCAAAGCCTGCTGAAAATCAGAGTCCTCAAGACTCAGGCAGATTTTGGAGCAGGCCCCACAGTGCTTAAATGAAAAGAAGGCTTAACTAATCACAGTAATTCTGGGGATGTTGCCAAATAGCATATAATCTGGCCCACATATTTTTTTTCTTGCCACACATGCTTGGAGCAGAGAACTACATTGCCAAAGTTCATTATGGTTTGGGGGTTTTTTTACTCTGTCTGTGAACTGCAGCTTCCAACAAATCCTTAAAAATGGGTCCTAATATGTCTTTTCAATCGCAAAATCCAAAATTGTAAAAAAAAAAAAAACCAAAATAGAAAGCAAATGCTTCTATTCTGAAAGCTTTGATATAGAAAATATTATTAGCAAGAAAATGGAAGAAAATCATTAAAATGGGTGTCATACACTTAATGAGATATAAGAGGGCTTATGTGAGGTATCACCACTAGAAGCAGTACCTTTCTGATTGCAATTATAACTCAGTTCCACTGATGTTATTGTTTATCACTGGTGCTTTTCTAGGTCAATTTTTTAATTTATAAAAAAAGGCATCAACAGCTAAAAGCCTGAAGCAATACAGTTGTTTACATTCCCCTAAGTTCTTGCTGGTAATAGCGATTATTGTACTAACGTAAGTGTCTTGCTTGTTGTGTTGTTCCTTTTTTCTTGAAAAATTAATACAGATAACATTTTTTGCAACTAGCTAAGCAGGCAACCATTGTCAAGGAAAGGCAGCTGCAATGTTAGGGAAAACAAGGAGCCATGGAATAAAATCATTTGCAAGCTTCCACACTTCACATGCCATACCAGATTCCTCTGGCATCTGGCCAGTCACGTGCCATCCCAGCACATGTTAGCAAAGGAGACACTGGCTTATCAAAGAGGAAATGATCCTGGATGCCAAAATAAACGAGAGACAGAGACAAAGAAAAAAAGAAGAAGGGAAAAGTAATTGGATTCAGAGAAGTACCACAATCCTATGCTAACATTTAACACTGTCAAAAAGGTCACTAGTATACAAGTAAGTAGCATAAAACTGAAGCTTGGGTCCTTCTTAGCTACTGATTGGAGGTGAGTTTCAGTGGATGGAGGGTCAGTTGCTCTGGGTTTTCAGTGCTGATTTGATGACTCCATGTGTTATAAAGGAGAACACTGGTCAGAATGTAGGGGTGATTTTAGAGGTTAGTAACCATCACCAGAAAGAAAGATGTGAACAATGATTTTCCACAGTAAATTAATATATATTATTGTGCGTGAGGATGTGTATCTGTTCACAGCCTGTACAAAGAGAGAGCAGGGTCAAAAAGTGGCAAAATGTCAGTGCTTGATTTTCTTAAGTTCATACTTTTAGCAAGTCCTTTTAAGTAGGAATAATGGTTGAAATTAAAATAGCACTTGGCTTGACCTTGGCTTGGTATACTGCAAAGTCATTCTGTTCCCCAACAGGTATTCTATTTCTGCTGCAGTAAATGTGGCATTGGACAGCACTGTTTGTGATACCTTGTTGCAAACGCTCCAGTCTCAATCAAATGATTCTTCCTACTGAAATGGTCTTGGCCCTTTTAGCCCCATGCAACTATTTGATTTTTCACGTTTGTCCTTGAAAATTATGAATGAATTTATTTAGCTCTTATATCTTATCATCAGGCTGAATTCTGACTTAGAAAAAAACTTATCCAGGGTCTAATTGAGGCTCAAGAGTGAGCATTTCCAGTGTAAATAAGACACTCTAGACAGGGTTATAAGCCTCACTCATTTCTCCATTGAAAACTTTAGTCTGCAATCCAGTAGCATGATATATATGGACTGACCCCTGTGCGGGGGTAGCCCACACATGGATCTATACTGAAATGACAGGAAAGTGAAAACTTGGACAGACAACTAGGGAGGAGTATAAAAGCCTTGCTTGGGCATGCAGGGGTGAAGTCAGGAAGGTCAAAGCACAATTGAAGTTGCTCCAGGGATGTGAAGGGTAACAAGAAGGGTTTCTACAAGTATGTCAGTAACACAAGAAAGATCAGGGAAAGTGTGGGCCCCTTACTGAATGGGGGAGGCAACCTAGTGACAGATGATACAGAAAAGGCTGAAAGTATGCCTTTTTCACCTCAGTCTTCACAAGTTAGGTCAGCTCCCAGACTACTGCACTTGGCAGCACAGTTTGGGGAGGAGGTGAGCAGCCAACTGTGGCAAAAGAACAGGTTAGGGACCATTTAAAAAGCTGGACATATACAAGTCCATAGGGCCAGATGAGATGCACCCAAGGGTGCTGTGGGAGTTGGGTGATGTGACTGCAGAACCAGTGACCATCATTAAAAACTCATGGTGATTGCGAGAGGTCCTGGACAATTGGAAAGGGGCAAATGTAGTACCCATATTTAAGAAAAGGATGAAGGGAACTACAGACTGGTCAGCCTCACCTCAGTCCCTGGAAAAATCATGGAGCAGGTCCATCCATTTCTAAGCATTTGGAGGAGAAGGTGATTAGGTACAGTCAGCATGGATTCACCAAGGGCAAGTCATGCCTGACCAACCTGATTGCTTTCTGTGATGAGCTGACTGGCCCTGTGGATACAGGGAGACCAGTAGATATGGTATACCTTGACTTTAGCAAGGCTTGTGATATGGTCTCCCATAACATTCTCGCAGGCAAGCTAAGGAAGTACAGGTTGGATGAATGGACTGTAAGGTAGATAGAAAACTGATTGAATCATCAGGCTCAGAGGGTAGTAGTAAGTGGCTTGACATCTAGTTGGCAGCCAGTATCAAGTAGGGTGCCCCAAGAGTCAGTCCTGGGGCTGGTTTTGTTCAATATCTTCATCAATGACCTGGAAGATGGCACAGAGCACACCCACAGCAAGTTTGCAGATGACACCAAGCTGGGGGAAATACTAGATATGCTAGAAGGTAAGGCTAGGATTAAGAAAGACCTAAACAGATTGGACCAAAATAAATTTCATGAGGTTCAATAAGGACAAGTGCAAAGTCCTGTACTTAGGATGGAACAATCCCATGCACCAGTACAGACTGGGGGCTGACTAGCTAGGCAGAAGCTCTGCAGAAAACCACCTGGGGTTTACAGTCGACAATCAGCTAAATATGAGACAACAGTGTGCCCTTGTTGCCAAGAAAGCTAATGGCAAGCATGGCTGCATTAGTAGGAGTGTTGCCAGCAGATCAAGGGAAGTGATTATTCACTTCTATTCAGCACTGGTGAGGCCACATCTGGAGTACTGTGTCCAGTTTTGGGCCCGCAGTAGAGAAAGGATGTGGACAAATTGGAGAGTCCAGTGGAGGGCAACAAAAATGGTTAGGAGCCTGGGGCACATAACTTAATAAGGAGAGGCTGAGGGAACTGGATTTACTTAATCTGAAGAAGAGAAGACAGAGGGGGGATTTAATAGCAGCCTTCAACTACCTGAAAGGTGGGTCCAAGGAGGATGGAGCTAGACTGTTCTCAGTGATGACAGATGACAGAACAAGGATCAATTGTCTCAACTTGCAGCAAGGGAAGTTTAAGTTAGATATTAGCAAAAACATTCTCACTAGGAGGGTAGTAAAACCCTAAAATAGACTACCCAGAGAGGCTGTGGACTCTCCATCCTTGGAGATGTTTAAGACCAGGCTAGACAAAGCCTTGGCTGGGATGGTCTAGTTGGCGATGGTCCTGGTTTGAGCAGGGGGTGGGACTAGATGACCTCCTGAGGTCCCTTCCACCCTTATGTTCTATGATTCTATGAAGGGACAGTGATCAATCTGTGCATATTACATTGCAGTGTTAGGGCCTTAGTATATTTGTATCTTGGTCACATGCATTAGATGAAGGATAAAACTGTGTTTCCATTACATCAGAACAATGAGACAGTGGGTTCCTTCTGTATTTTCTCTGTTTCTCCTAGTGCCACCAGTTTCTTCTGTTAGCACCAAAGAAAAGACTGCACTGGCACACTTATTTGCTTAAGTTCAGTAGAAAACCTCCTCCTTTTACCAGGGAGTGGCTGGACGCTATTGAAGATCCATAGACAAATAGGACTGAAAGGCTCCTCAGGAGGTTACCTAGTTCAATCCATTGCTCAAGGCAGCAGCATCCCTATTCATCTTCCTTTCCATGCCTGGGATCCAGTCCTGTCAAGATAGAATGTCTCCTGTTCTATATAGTAAGTGCTCTCAACAATCATTAACTTCAGTGGGGGAGTTGAGGGAGCCCATCAGAAAGCCCTTAACACTTTGAAGACTTCAGAGCCTGAAGAGCTGAAGGTGATGGAGGCTCGGTTTTGGAGGCTCTGGGGCTTGCAGTTTGTGGTAATGTAAACTAATGGTTTAATAAACAAAGAGCCAAGTCCCTGCTTCAGGTCAGATCAATCAATTGGTGTATTCTCCATTTCCCATTTTGACCTGGGCCTTTGAGGGAGCAGCTCATTCACTTGCTGAGAACACAGTTAGATAAGAACTTGAATAGGCAATCAATGTCTTTTTCATAAATACAATTTACATAAAAACGTATAGCTCATTATTTAGGTTTCTGCTAATTAAACAGTCCATTTGGACTGAATATGTCTGTAATACCTAGGTCCAGTATTAATGGTAATTATGTGTCTTTTACATAATTTATTAGTTGTGGTTACAAACTAAAGTGCCTTGAATAGAGCTGAGAGATCAGAACAATTCATTTGGACTTAAAGAAATCCGTATCTAAAGAACTTTCTAAAATCCTATGGATTATCTTGTAGACAGTTATAGCTTTTAAAGTTTATTAAGAAAGATCCTATTATGGATTTTTTCAAGTTAGTCACCCATTGTTAAGGTCTTTTTTTCCCAGTAATGCACTTAGAAACGTATACATCTTAAATGTCTGACTCAGCAATTTGGCAGTACATTGACAGAAATCCACAACTAGAATCTTCATTCTCTATTCTTGTAACACTGAAAACCATCAGCATGGGCCTGATTCTGCATATCTTTAGGCATGTGTAACAGTGTCTGTGGGAATGAGCCATATTTGGGTTGCATAAAGCTTGTTCCTATCACTGGTCAGGGAAATTAAAGTGGTGCGTATTTTGTAAATAATAATCAGGCATTCAGCTAAGAAAATATTGATTCTGTGCACCAATTTGTGCTTAAACAGGAAAATATGAGATCCTAGATTTCCTTTAGTGATTGGATAAGATGGCAGCAGTATCCATTTAACATATTTAATATTTATTTTTAATAATCAAATATTGATGTTTAATAGTTTGGCACAGAAAGTAATTCCTGAATTATAACTCTATGTTTAAAAGTTTAAGACAAAGCTACTTTTTATCCAAGTTATTAAAATTCATGACAATTGAATTTTCTAACAGAAATTACAATAGACAGGGGTACTGCTGTAATTATCCTCATTATCTAAGCAGCAAAATATATACAAAAGAAAAAGATTAGGATAAAAATAAATGAGAATAAGTGAAGATGCCCTAAGTATCCAGGTTGTATGGTCCACTTACATCAATAAGTTGCTGTTGATCCTTCTCAGACATATCAGTCAGGCTATAATATTTTCCAGCAAGGTCTCCTTTCAGCCCAGCCAGCGCAGTGACCACGACATTTTCTACTTCTCTCCTTTCTGCCCGAGAACAGGCTGGGGGAAGGCTGAGACCTCGGATACTGCGACCAGTACGTACACGTGATGATAGGACATAGCGCTCATCAAAGTTGCCCTGGGTGATCTGACAAAAGAATAAAAAATCTTCATACAGTACCCCATTTTACATACAGTCATTTTAATATGTACATAATGGATAGCTTTCTTACATTCACTACAGTCAGGTCATCATACGTGATCTGGATACTCTATTTAGAAGTATTCTAAAGAGGCTCTAAATTCTATAGAGGCTCATCAAGCTTTCAGGTTGTAGGAGACTACACGGTTGTAGGGGACAAAATCAGGTCTTGACTAACCTGGTCAGGTTTCTGGCTGGGTGTACTATGTCGGTACCTGGGCAGCAAAGCACTACCATTTCCAGTCATTGTGACATCACAGTTCTGTTTTCCATAAGCTTATTTTCTTTGGAAATGGGAACTTGAACCATTAAACTCAATATGCTAGTTCTAGAAAGCTGAATAATAAAGGATTCAGAAGCATATTCCTACCTTGGATGCATCCAGGTCTGTGTGGTGCTTCATTATACTTGGATCATAGCCATTATGTCTCACTTTAATTACTGGGTCAAAAAGCTCAGCAAACATCTGTGGAGTTAACGGAGCATTAGTTTAGTTTTGGGTATGCAGTGTGGTTTTCTGGTCCCCTGTAGTGGCTGGACAACATTGAGTTTTATGAGTTTGCTCCAGCCTTTGAGCTCCCAAAGAGGAGAGAGTCTTTAGCTCAAGCAAGGAAGACTCCTAGTTTGAGAGCTAAATTTCCATTGCTGAGTAAAGTAAAAAGGTGACCAGGAAGCCAGTTGTAGGTTCTGAAGAGAAAGTAAGGAAGAAGAATTCTTGTGTTCTGAGCTGAAGTTAAACCAACTGCAATGACATAGGCTTCACCAAGTATTCACCCAAGGTCCAAAGCTTACAGGTACAGCCTGTCCTAAAGCCTATACTGCTATGGAGGTTTAGATAGGACTACTGTATGTGGGTGCATCTACATGTTGCCATATGGCAATATTGCTATGGTACCATGCTTTAATACGTTTTGGCACATGGGTGGATTTCACCAATATGTCACCATAGCAGTGCACTATACCCAGGGAGTGTGCTGCTATGGCAACGTAGCTGGCAATCACAGGTAAACACACGTGATCACTACGTCACCATAGGGCAATGTGTAGATGTGCCCTGTGAGCTGAAAACACCCCTTTGGAATACAGTGCAGACACAACCAGTGGGGGCATCTACGCTGCCTCTAGACAGCACTAGGGTATACCACAAATGGATGTCATATAGCTACCCACAATGAGTAACAGAATGCACCCCAAAAAGCCTATCCGAGCCAGTGAGCTAATGGCACATACCAATAAGGGCAAAAGCATTTCATCTTTTCAGATGTAGCCCTGATGAAGCAAGCAGTCATATTTCACTATGGAGACAGTCTAAATATGCCCAAGGTACTACTAAAATTTAATTCTACAAATCCTTTCTACAGCCAGATCCTGCTCAAGACCAAGTGAAACAGAGTCATCTGTATCATAAACGCATCATTAGCAAGCCAGCATCGGGGATGTTTGATGTTACTTTGAAGAGAATAAATAATAGAAGAGAAGCTTCCAGTGCTCTATAGGCAGGAGCAAGATGACTGTAGTGTTAAATAACACAGAAGGTGTTATAACAATGGGCCTCTACTGCCTAGTTCTTGTTCTCCTATTTCAAAATTAAAATCAATGTATCTATCCTAGTCCTATGTATCTATCTTTGGTATTTTTCATGTCTATGTAGCCATAAAATCTAGCTGTCAAGCATCCCACATCTTTCAGAAGAAATGTTTTTCTTGTTTCTACTATCTTTTTGTTTACAATATAATTTCCACATCAGCTTGCTTGGATGGCTAGGTTTCACAGGCTTGCCACAAACTAACTTTTACGGCAGGACGGAGTGCAGTTGTGGGAGGCAAATAAAATATGGTTCCTGTGAGGCTGCACTTTATTGCATTTGATAACTTTATAGATGGCTGCTTTAGTGATGTTTCTTTTTCATTGCATGTCCTGCTGTAATTTCCCCCAAAGATGAGAGAAAATACCAGTATTATCCATATGGCTTGCATTTTATATATCATCTGGTGTGCATTTAAACATGCACATCTGACAAAAGATATTCATCCTAACAAACTCTTAGGAAGTATAATAACTGAACATTAGAGTAAGTAACATTTTACCTCATATGACTCTTCATCACCAGCAACCATACCCACAGTTTTAATGAAAAGATGGCCAGGATTGTCAACCCCAGTTTGGATACACTGGTCCAAGGTATAGCCATTGGGAGTCATCTTGTCCCTTAGTTTTGCATAAATTGCTGGTGTGAGACATTCAGCCATGCAGTTGTTATGTTTGCGGAGATCAGGATAGTCTGCACTAAGGGATGAGAAAAACAAATGTACTTAACATGGTAATATTAAACAGTAATCCATGGGTCTGTTCGCAGGCTACAGCAACTCAGATGGAGAGGGGATGGCATGAGTGCAACATGTGGGCTACTTGTTTCCTTCTCTTAAGCTAAAATGTGTCATTTTGCTGTACATGGGTTGGTATGTTTCTGCAGTGGCTCAGGAGGGTCACGGAAAATAACAGAGTTTGAGATGTGATCTGTTTCTGGCCAAGCATAGATTTGAAGTTTAGAAAGAACACAAGTGCACTACTCTCACTAAGGAACCCCACAGCTAAAATCACAGAACTGAAAGGACTTGCCTACGTGGAGTTGCTCAGGAAAATTAATCTAAATTAACTTTTAAAGTGAAATGTTAACCCACATCAAATCCCTTTGTAGCTATTTCTTCAGAATTAAAGTGGTTTTACTTTAGTTTAATGTACTTGAGAAATAAATTTGAATGAAGGCTACCATCATTCTGAATGAGCGCTCACACAGGATTTAGTACATCTTTACTAATTGATTTTAACCTCACAATGTTAGTTAATTCAGATTCATTTTCCTGAGTGCCCCTATGTTTGTGGTATTTTGAAGTTGTCTAAAAACAAGATTAATCATTGAAGAGCATGTTCTTGGATCCTGAAACCAGGATTACTTGTGGGAGATCATGTTCTTGCTTTATCAGTCTGCCAGTCTATTTCCCATGCTCAGTTCTTTCCCCTATCAAACACACCTCAGACAAACAAATAGATGTCATGGGTGGGTCATTGTGAGTACTGTAACTGCTTTCTTCAGTCCTGATTGGGGCAAATCTCTTCCCTTCTACTTCCTTATGAGCTACATTCAATAACTACATCAGCTACTGAGGATGAGCGCTCACCTGAGTTTTTGACCCGAAGTACTTACCTTGGAGGGAAGAGTTTTCGTCTCTCCTGAGCTCCTGCATTCACACTCTGCTGATTCAGTAGATATCCAGTGGTTAAAGCCCCTGTGCTAACTGTTGCAAAGAGCACAGCAGTTGTGCGGCCAGCCAGGAGACGAGAGAATGTGCTAGCCATTCTTCAAGGGTAAAATTTCTAGAAAGCAAAACAATCTGATAGGAAACCATACTTGTGACTAGTCATACATTCAGTGCTTGAAAAATGCTTTAAGGACTTGAACATACAGGGGACATCTACATGTGTGCTTTACTGCAGTTGACTAATTAGCTCTGCAGTAAAATGTCACTGTCTACATGTGCAAAGACATTAGGCTGGAATAAACTAATTAACTCTACTATAGGATAGTACTGCTTGGCACAAGTACTATCTTATGGTACAGTTATTTAGTGTGCTGCAACAAACATGTAGACAGTGTGTGGGGATGGCTGGGGCATGAGGGTGCTACAGTGTGGGGCTTGCCTGCCATCTGGCCCTGCACTGTAGCACCCTCGTGCCCTAGCCAGCCCCTCCCCGCAGCATGTTCAGTTGGGGCAGAGCAGTTCTGGGCTGGCAGGCTGATCCCCTGGGCCCTCTGCCAGCCAGGGCTGTACCAGCCCAGCTCAACATGCTGTGGGCCTGGGCGCACATGTAAATGATTTGCCTGGGAGCAATAAACTCCACTGCAAACTGCACCGGTGTTTGTTCAGCTGTACTAATTTCATGTGTAGATGCTGCCACAGAAATTCAGTAAAAGGTGGATTAGGAGTGGTATGAATTGCAGTAGTGCCTAGAAGAAAATCATTAATATTTATTGTATTTCTTCATATGAACCTTTGGTACACTTGAAAACCGATTTGTTCTGTTCAGTTTAATATTGAATACAACTTTCAAAACCTAACTTCCAATATCGATGATGTTTTAGGCAATAATTCATCTCTTTAGCTTGCTTCACGGCAGTAATATAATTAGATAGAAGTATCTATTGAATGGCATATGGCAAGGTTATAATGGCAAGGTTACAAATAGCAAGCAAAAGATTGCAAATTAATAGGAGAATTTCTTTTTGGTAATGGAAGAGCGATAGAAATCTCAAGGAAGTTTAGAGCTTACATTTTATTGTTATTTGCACAATAATTGTGCTTTATAGTCTTTTGTGCTTTGTAGCTTTATAGATTGTGCTCTATAGTCTTGTGTGAAGAAAAGATCTGCCATACTCATGTCAGAAACTAGATTCAGTGAGTGCATCTATACGTGCTATTAATGTGGCTGAATAAACTCTGGCACAGTTCGCACTGGAGTTTATTGCTCCTGGGCACTGCATTTGCACATACACCTGGGACCACAGATTGTGGGGCCAGGGCAGAGCAGCCCCAGCTGGCAGGGGGCCCCAAGGGTCAGCCTGCCAGCCTGGAGCTGCTCCAACCTGGCTCAATGTGCTGCAGATTAATTAACTCTGCAGATTAAAATTAACTCCGATAGTACTCAGGGATAGTACTATTTTATGGCAGAGTAATTAACTGCACTGAAACGCATGTGTAGATGCTGACTGAGGGCATAAATTGCACCCAGAAAGCTGAGCCAGCTGAGGGCCTGCTCTGCCCTGGCTCAAATTGCTGCTCTCCCAGGTGCACGTGTACATGCTGTGCCTAGGAGCAGTTTCCTCTGGTTAAAATGGCACCGGAGTTTATTGTGTTGCATTAATTACATATATAGATGCACCCACAGAGACCTTTACAAGATTTTTTCATCTGACAAAATCCACAAGCATTCTACCAAGATCTGTTTAAACACTGCCGACTGAATCCCCAAAATCAGATGCTGCATGGGTGGAATAAAATCATCTTAAACCTGTTTAAGTGATCAGCTGATGTTTCCTTGAGCCTGTTGCTATTGAAAATAATTCAGGTATCAGAAAAACTCAAAAATTACTTAAATCTCCCTTTTCCCCATGCATTGAGACAAGCCCAGTTTAGACTCATCTAAGGACCTGGTCCCCTTTCCATTACTTATACGTACACAGAAAGCTTTGATAGACTTGAATCACCATATTTCCATGAGCAGAAGAAAGAAAGATGTTCATATGAAAAACGCAGACCAAAGACGTATTACAGACACACTGCCTGCAAAGACAAAGTGCTGTAATTAGCTATTACACTTTGGTATGCTTTATAAATAATATAAATCTGTAGTAACCAGTGAGCCATGAGCCGATGTTAAAGGCATTTTGTGAAAGGTACAACTGGGAGTTTTACTCTCCATCACCTCTCTTATTTAATATCAAAAACAGTAATTCCCAGAGATGGATTATGTCCATGAAGTCTGTAGAGAATCACAAAAATAAAACAGCCCTGTAAGAGATGTTTAAGTTTTTCTTAGTTGGTGGTTTCTTGAGTTACTCTTGAGTTTTTTAAGAAAACCCCGTGGGGAAAAAGAGAATAAAGTTAATCCCAATCATTTAGAAAGCCTGCAGTTCACATCCTGGGTACAAGCTTCCTTCTGCGTCAGTTTCACAGGTTTTCTCATTTCTTTGTTATTTATTCATGAGAGTATTTTATATGTTAAAATAAGTTGTGCTTCTTTCCCATTTGATATCTTCTTTGAAATGCAGTTGGAAATAACTGGTTAGCAGAGCATTCTTCAGAGATAAGAACTGAATGGATGTCTATTTGCAAGAACAAGTTATTTCCACAAAAAAGATCATTCAGTCTTGCTCCCATTGAAGTCAATGAGAATTTTGCCATCATTTATATACAGAACAAGACTAGGTCAAAAACTACTCAAGGAGATTTTAACATATTGTATTATCATAGATAATGGCATCTGTGTATTTTTCAAAATGCTATAGAACTATTAACAAACACAGTCACAGTACCTCATATATCACCGCTGTATCTGTATATGTACTATTAGCCCAGTTGTACAGATGCAGAGAAAACAAGGTAAAGTGACTTGCTCAAGACCACACAGAGAGAACCCACATTAGAACTCAAGACATCCTGGGTGCATCTACACGTGCTGCTATGGCGCCATAGTTACTACACTGTCATTCTGTACTTCCTTTTGGAAGTACTAATAGACAGCACAGTAACAACCCATACAGTGCTGTGCATGCTGCGCATGGTTATTTTTAGGCACTAGACCACTGTAGCAATGCACTATAATGAAGGAGCGCATTGCTACAGCGATGTAGTTGTGGTGTCACAATTTTTGCCCATGAATTCTATGTCATCTTAGCGCATTGCTATGGCAACATCATGTGTAGATGCACCCCCGACTTAGTCTTTGTCTCGTTTCTCCAGTCCGTGTGTCTTACTAAGACACTGGGTCTTTTTTCTGAGAGAGAAAGGAAGCCCACATTTCATTTGTACTAGATTATACTGGCAGTGTAAAGAAATCTCCAAATGAATGCATATGTCAGTTATGCTAGTTCTTATACTCTGTGTGCCCGTCTCTGCTCAAGAAGGCATTCTCGGGCAACTCTTGCGCGGGCGGCTAACCAGATCTGCCCAGGTCTCGCAGGAGGGTCCCCGGAGGGTACCCCGGGAGCCAGTAGCAGATCCCCGGAACTTGCCGACCGAGGTCTCGGCTGGGCCCACAGCAGGGGGGTCCCCCTCTCTGCGGCCTCCAGTGCCAAAGCGCCCCTGGGCGGGTTCTCACGGGGCTCCAACCTCCCCTACACCCTGGCCAACGCCACCTTTGGTCGCGGACCTTCTGCTCCTCGCCCCCGGCCCAAGGACTGCGCATCATGGGCGCTCTTGCCCTTGCAGGCTTCTTTCCCAATGCCCTCGCCAGCGTCTCTGCCGGCGCTTCCCTGGTTCCCTCACTGGTGGTTCCTGCCGGCTCTTCTCTGGTTCCCTCACCAGTGGTTTCTGCCGGCTCTTCCCCGGTTCCCTCACCGGAATTCCTGCCGGCTCTATCCAGGTTCCCTCACCGGCGTTCCTGCCGGCTCTTCCCCGGTTACCTCACCAGTGGTTCCAGCTGGCCCTCTCTCCAGGTTTCTCCTCGGCGCCTCCACTGGCTCCCCGGCGCCACGGCTCTCCTAGCATCCACCACTCCCGGCGCTGCTGCAGCCTATCCAGCCCACGGCAAAGGCCCCATGCGGGTGCCCGGTTCCGGCCCCGGGCTTCCCTCTGGGCCTCAAGTCCTCCCGCAGCACGCCCCCTCTGCCTTCGGGGCCACGTTTTATTTCCGCCAAGCGGTGCCTCTCTCTGACGTCACTCCGCTCCAGCTGTATGAAAACGCGGCTCATGAGCCGCACAGGTGGTTCCCTGGTCTGCACGCTGCTACCGCTCTCACCTCCTGTGAAGCATAAGCGAGCGTTTCCTCTGGCTCTGGGCCGGGGTCTCCTTCTAGCCCCGTTGTCCCTGGGACATAACCCCCCGCTTAAGATGCCTTGGGGCGCTGCTTTGTCTCCCCTCTGGGTTGTACCTGTGGGGTCGGTCCGTCCTTTCACTGGGTCCTTTTGGTCTCCGGTCTGGTCTTCACTTCTACACATAAGAAGTCCGCCACGGTATTGGTTTTCCCAGGTCGGTATATGACGCGGAATTTATACGGTTGGAGCGCTAATGCCCACCGGGTGATCTGAGCATTATTGGACTTGGCTGTATTTAGCCACTTCAGCGGGGCGTGGTCCGTCACTAGTGTAAACTCCCTGCCCATCAGGTAGTACCTGAAGTAGTCCACCGCCCACCGAATTGCCAGGCACTTGCGCTCAATAGTGGCATACCTTTTCTCCGCCGGTAGTAACTTGCGGCTTCCCTTTTCCCCGCCGGTAGTAACTTGCGGCTCGCGTATGCCACGGGTCTTTCGCCCCCCCCTTCTTCCTGGGTGAGGACTGCACCCACCGCCGTCTCTGAGGCATCCATCTGCAAGATAAAGGGTTTTCGGAAGTCAGGGGTATGAATTATGACGTCTTCACATAATGCCCTCTTCAACTTTTCAAAACTTTGTATCATTTCCTTAGACCACCTGACTACTCCCATTTTCCGCCCTTTGAGGGCCCCCGACAGGGGTGCTGCTAACTCTGCGAAATGGGGTACAAATGGCCTATAATAGTTGGTTAGTCCTAGGAAGGACTGTAACTGGCGACAATCTTGCGGGGCCGTGAAGTTTCGGATGATTTCCACTTCGTCGGCCAAAGGTTTAATTGTGCCCCTGCCAACCAAGAATCCCAGATATTTTGTTTCTTTTTGCACCAAGGCGCACTTCCGAGGGTTTGCGGTTAGGCCGGCGCGCCTCAATTCTGTGAGGATGGCCCGAAGGGCGCTCTTGTGTTGTTCCCAAGTCTGGGTGTATACGATGATATCATCTATATATGCCATTGCATATTCGGCGTGGGGCGCCAGGATCTGGTCCATCAGACGTTGGAATGTTGCAGCGGCGCTGTGCAATCCGAAGGGCATCCTAACAAATTCGTACAGCCCCCACGGGGTGC